TTGTGTCACTTAATAGGTCATGAGAATTAAGCTAATTTTCACATGACCCGCATAATACTACATATTGCCAGCTGTTGGTGCACGCACCATCAATTTAATTCGTAGTTTTTCTCAATTAGGACATTCAGTTAAAGTGATATCTCGTCATTTTCACGCGTTAACTTTTTTTGGTATGTGCATTTTTTTAAACAAACGATATTATCTATACGGGAGTATGTAGGCTTAGCCTTACAATAGGTTAGTAATAATGTGGTTCAAATTCACCTTTGACTAGAATCAAACCTAAGACCTTTCACTTACAAGTGAAGAAAAATACTACTAAACTATAATACTAAAAGACAGAATGTGTGTTTTTTAAGAAGCGTAAAATCTCAAACGTGGAATTTCCGTATCTATGCCAATTTCTTTTATTTGTAAGAAAACTCATTTTCGTTGAACGTTGTGTATATATGAAATCCCAAAAATGCCCTTAATGTGATAATTCACGGTTTTTATGATAATTTCATCTACTTCATTTCTTATCCAACCTACCCCGACTATCTTTTGAATTTCTATACACGACGATTTACAAAATTCGTTCAGGTAACACTACAAAATGTGATTAACTAGAACACTGATTTTACTTTTGTATACTAGTTTACATCACCCAAAATTTTAATTATATTTACTTCAAGAAGATTATTGAAGAATTTTCAATTGGAATACTGATAAAAAAGAGCAAAACATTCAACATCTATTTATTACTATAACATAAAAGTTATTCTAATTAGAACACAAGCAGGGCAGCCAATCTTCTCGAAAATGAAAACCAAAATTCAACATTATTATTTTTTGGTCGAACTGGAAAACAAGAAACAACTCTTAACCCCCATACCAAATCAACCAAACATATCCCTCTCCCTCATCTCTTGAAAGCAACAAATTTAAAGAAACAAAAACACTGTGGAGTAGCCATAGCTACCAAAGCATACACATCTATTGAACTTCTGCCTCACTCACAACCAGGCCTCATGCGACGTTGTCCTAATCCACATCGACGCTCACGGGAGACAGTGGCAGTAGCACTGCCATCACGATCAGAAGTCAAACCACTGCTACCACCAGCAGCTGTGGACTTCTGTTCGGTAGCCTTCTCCATACCTTTCTTCACTTCCAACAAGCTTATCTTGTACAGCTTAAGCTCCTCCTCTCCCATGGTCTTAATCGGCTTAATCCACTGCGGATCACACTTGTCATGATCCACCACTTGGCCTAGGGTTTTTCTCTCTGATAACTCCTGGTCGTCCGAAACCTCCACCTTAGCGACATGCTGGGCTAGCATGTCTTCAACACGGTGTTGCCCCGTGACACAAAACAGCTTCTTGTCCTTAGTCTCTACATAAAATGTGACTTCTTTCCCTGTTGCCTCCTTGAGCTCCCGTACGTCTCTGGACAGGCTCATTAGTTTGCGCCGCAATCGTTGTTTGGACAGATTATTCGTTCGGGTTTGTTTGGACGAGTTCTTGGAGGTGGCTATGCTGAAATCCATGGCGGCTCAGGGTATTAGGAATAAGACAATACCTATAGCCAAGATAATATAGAGAAGAGGATTGGTATGATATATGAGCCAGGGCTAGAGAGGTATTTATAGCACAGGCTGCATATGTCCAGAATTCCTTCCCTTGTATGTTTGCCCTATGATTGTTCTTGGGTATATGGGGGCAATAATATCTTTAATTCTTTTTCTTTATTTGTGCATGCACCAACAAGCAAAAAAAGGAAATTATTTTTAGGGCTTACTTATCCAGAAACCAAAAAAGGTATTTATATATAGGGTTTCCGTAACCAAAAAAACAGAAACGGAAATTAATTACGGGATAATTATCGAATAAACATTGAAGGAAACAAACAAACTAACAACAAAGCATTATTCTACAAAGTAAGATCAGCCATATGAATCCTAAAATGCCATTGCGTTCGGTTTTGTGCTAAGTATTGCATTAGATCCAAGTACTCGATGTATTTTCTTAGAGTCTCTTTCCAAATCTTCTTAGGTCTTCATCTACCTCTTTTGCCTTGAGTATTTGTCTCATAATCGTATTTTTTAATCAGAGCATCCATAGGTCTTCAGTTGACATGTCCAAACAGAAATAACAAAGAAGGAAAAGAGGCAAAAATAAAAATATGTCTTTTTAAAATAGGATAAGAATGCATGTTGCATGAGGGAAATTTCCCCAACTCTTTACTAAATCTCCTTCAACCTCATAGTGTAAGAAGTTCAAGTCTTTTGTGTTCCTTTTCTTGTACCTTCTATTATTTTTCATTTTTGCTTCTTCTTTTTCAACATACTTTTTGCCGGTTCTATTCTATTGTTGTTGAGTTGAGCACACTACACATTGTCGAGATTTCACGGGTTAATTGTTGTTGAGTTGAGCCATTTGCTAAATAAATTAAGAGAGTTTAACTAAAAATATTTTGATGACACTATCTTTTGCTAACAAATTTGTAGCCAACTTTTTTTATTTTTAAGGACACACACTAAAACATGGTTCAACATACAACTCCACTCCCAATCCAAACACTGCTTCGACATTCATAGGTTATATGTAAAAATAAAAAGTAATTTTGCAAAAGGAAGAATTTGATACAATTAGAATCATAATTTTTCACCTACTAACTTTCCTCCAATAATTTGATGGTTGTGATTCTTTTAATGTAGCACATAGTAGCTTGGGCGTGCCAACTTTTGTGGTAAGTGCAATTTTTTTTAAGAATGTAACATCTAAGGACATAGAAATCTCATATATTTTAATATTTTTCGCAACACAATTTTTCGATAAAAAATAAACATTAACCGTTGTGTACAAATTTGGTAAAAGTTGTATATGAAATTTCAAGAATAGCCTTGTACATATTTTATGCTTCAATACGTAGTTCATTATTTTTACGTTGGTTGGAATTGGATCTCATCCGAGAATTCCCGACCACATCTTAATCATTCACCGTGTATCGTACGGTCAGAAATCATTTAATTTTTATTATTTAAAATTAAACACAAATAGTATCTGACGAAAACTTAAAGCACGATGTACGATGAACGATTAAGATGTTAAGATCCTTAGGATCTCACAAAATGGATCCGAAGAGGATCCTTTTCCATGTTGGTTAACCGATACTTAAGTAGGGCAATAAGTTGTCAAAATAAAAATACGTGCAACTGACACGAATATGAGAAGTTGAGATTATTCTATGCTAAAACGAAATTGAAAAGCACTGTTTATAATAGTGATTTGACAAAATTGCCCTTAATTACTGCCAAAGTTCGGCTTTTTCTGTTTAGCAAAGTGAATTCACAATTTTTTTTCTTCCATCACCTGTTGCCCGAGGGTGCTAATGTGTGTTAAGTGTGACGGTGACACTTTTTTTTTATTCAGAAGTAGAGAAATTTTATAAAATAAAATTCAAACGGACAGATGTCAGCAAAGATCGGCATACAGAAAAAAAAACAGCCTACAAATAGTACACAAAGGAAATAAACATGAAACGGTTTCAACCCAAATACAAATCCTCCACAAGGATTCAAATAGTGGAGGCCCAAAGGTGGCTAATAGAGAAAACTCTACAAGCCTAGCTGAGAGATCACCCGTCGCAGTTGCTTGAAAGCCATAAATGGCCGCCAATCCACACCGTCAGATTCACACCACAAAATAACAATTATTCACCCCTATATCAAGGTCATACACAGACCTTCACAAGTCCCAAATAAATAACAATGCTAAACCACATAACAACAACATCATAAAAACCAAAACAAAACTGAAAATTATCACCAATAAACCTACAAACCGAACGGAGAAGCCAAACCTCACTGCTATAACCACTACCCGGTAACCAGCAAGAACAAAGTTCCAAAGCCGGAGAAGTAGGACATGAATTCAGAACCAAAGAAGGAGGCGGGGCAAAGCTCCGCACCGAACCCAAGTGCTTGGTTTCACACTTTCAACTGAATAAGCAACGATTCGCTCTCGGGGTGAGCAGCGGACACAGGAACACGGGCAAACTTCTCAATCGAAAGTGTGACGGTGACACTTGCTTATTCTAAACCACCGCCACCATTCTTCTTGCTAAAAACCACGGGCCACAACACCATTTTCCATTCTGCCAAAATTCGAGCTTTGCATGCACGAATTCGTTTCGGATTGGAAGAATCCTTTCCTAGGTTTAAAATTTTCTTCCGATCCAAAACGGATTCACGCACTTCGTCCACTGGCGCTCCCACCAATCAACGGTGCAGAGTTCTCTTCGTCCACCGGCAATTCCTCGTGGGTCCCACTAAAACCCATCTAAGCAATCAGAGTTCCATAAAAACTTCATTTGAAGTCCAAATCTCGTTTTGCTTGTGCCACGCGTTCGTAGCGACAAATACTATATAATATACTAAATAAATACATCACGTGCCCGACGACTAAGTCAACATATACTCAGTAAGGGTATTTTCGTCATTCTCCCACTCTAAGGATTTAAAATACTATAATTCAAGGACGGGTCGTTACAGAAGAACCATGTACTGCAAGTCAGCAAAGACTGACGGCACCGTGAGTCCGCGACCACGGAGAGCAGGGCAACCCCAACTCCTACGAACTGGTTTTCTAACGGGAAAAAGGTATACATACTTCAAGCAGGCTTTCTGTCAACTATAAACAAAACCTCACTTAATAACACAATTTGTGATTTTTATAAAATTTGAGACAATACATATTAAATTGAAACGATCTCAAAGATGATATAACATACTAAATTGATTAGTATAGAAAAATATATACTTCCAATGACAAGTTGCTATCTTTTTAACTACCCATTCAACAACCCAATGTCCTGGATCAAACCCTAAATTAATTAAAGTCCTCCTCGAGCATCAGTTTTTCTGGGAAAAGAAATAAAAACCAAGTACAGTTTTGGCTTCCTTGTCCATCAAACCTATGGCATTGTGCAGCAGGTTTTAGGGTTTCGCTAATTGACAATTAATAGAAGAAAACCCAAGAATGAAATTTCATCTCCACAAATACAAGAAAACCAACTCAAGTCTGAAAAATGAGAAGTCTATTTCGGTTTCTATTTGTACACTTCGAATACGAATGGAAAAAAAAACAAAAAGGGAAAGAAAGCAAGCAAACCAGACAATGTGCAGGTCTCTCTCTGAAGATTATGCGCAAAATATAGACCTTGCTGATATCCTCCAAGTTGCCCTCTCACTCTCTCTCTCTCTCCCCCTCTGGTTGTAACGTAAGGGGACTTTTTTCTTTTTAAGCTGTTGAGATTGATCCAACGACACCTGCAACTTACTCCTGGCAAATACTCCCACTCATTCTAGCCTCGTGGATGTTGAGATTGATCCAACGACACCTGCAATGACCCAAATTGATGTAAGCACATTTTGCAGACCAAGCCAAAGTCAAGAGCCTTGTACTGCAAGTCTGCAAAGATTGGTGGCACCATGACCATGGAGAGCAGGGCAACCCCAACTCATATGAATTGGTTTCCTAATGAGAAAGTATGCATAATTAAAGCAGACTTTATTAAGAAAACCTCACTTACGAACAAATCTTGTAAGATACAGGACACGACGTACCTTACAATATAGCTCCGAAAGCTAGCTGCTACAAGTGAGTGGTACAGAATCAAATGGCTAAAACTGTTAGAATATCATCCAGTTTAACATTATGGACGTCATACATCTTCGATTTCAACTTTCCCTTGATACAAACTCAACAGTTGAGGTACTTGGTCTAGGTATCTGGTCACAAATCTCTCCAAGAACTGCTTCTCCACCGGCAATAACACATAACTCAAGCTAAAATTTTCATTTATCAATCCTTTCAATAACAAAACTTTAACAACTGAACACCTTGGGATGATTCTATTCTCCAAACTTAGGCACAAAGCCGCTGGGCACTTTATGAGTAGTCCCGATGGCCATCCCATCTTGTTGACAAAAAAATCCATTGCTAGCGTTATTTTTTTCTCAGATAGATTCATACACTGCGGGTTTTTCCTGAAAGCAAAGAGAATATCATCCTCAGACCAACCCCAACTCCCGTAAACTTCCCGACTTCGATCCCATATCAACTTACTATTCTTACCAGACAATGAGCGTAGTGCAAACATGAAAGTCGCTTTTCCAAGATCAAGTCCCTTAGCCCTCACCTCATCCACAACTTTACCAAAATTTTCAGGCTTTAGCATCAGAGTTTGGGTGCATTGAGCTAGCATCAGAGAAATGCATGATCGGGAAACACCCAATTCTCTCAACAGCCCAATATTCGGAGCCACATTAGAGTCTGCCCTTTCTGGGTTTTGCAATTCGAGCCTTTTGGACGCTGAAATTGCAGCTTTTGGGGACAACCCACATGACCTTATGAGGTAATCGACGGTGAAATTGTGTTGGTTTTCTGGGATTTTTGAGGTGATGGGTCTGTAAAGCAACTGGTTTTGAAGAGAAGAAAGTGAGGGTTTTACATTTTCAATCACTAATCTCTTGTTTCTGGAAGCAAATGGAGAGGAAAATATTAAAGAGTATAACCTGGGGGTCTTTGAGCTGCAGAGTAGAACCATGTTAGATGCTGCCGGCGACGAACGATTTCTAACGGCAAACCCCAGAACCCTAGTAGTGGCTCTCAGGTCTCTAGAACCCATAAGTAGGGTTGACTAAAAACCCCAAATTAACCTCAGTGAAAAATTAACAAACAGACGTGTCGTTTAATTCACACCAAAGTCGAAAATCAACCCCCATGAGAAATTATTATGGCTCGATTAGATGTGCATTTAGAATGATCAAAAATATTTTTAGAGAAAATATTTTTTCTGCTTCAAAAGCACTTCAAGTACTTTCTGCATGAAGCACCAGTTATGTGCTCATTCTAGAAAGCATTTTAAGTGATTTTTCATTATTCATTTGCATTTTTACTACGGATGAGTTCCAAAAACATTTTAACTAAAAATATTTTCACTCATTTAAAAGTACATCCAAACGAGCTCTTAATAAACCTATTTTGTTGGAGATCAAGCTCCGATAGCTCTTACAGAAATTTTAAACCCTGTTGAACATCAAATCATCATCTTTAAATCAAATTCTAATTTAGAGACCGAATAGAAGAACATTCTTATAAAAATAATAAATTACAGAGGTTATAAACCTTATAATTATCAAACAAAAATTGGGTAAATTACATAAAAACCCCTCAGGTTTGAGATCTATTACAACCTTATACAACATCTTTAAAACATTTCACTTTTATACCTCACGTACTATTTTATTTCAAAATAACACATCCGTTAGATTTTCCATCCAATTGTTTGTTAAATGCTAACGTGACTGCCACATTTGTACTGATGTGGCTACCACGTGACAAAAAATAATAATTTTTTATACATTAACAATATTAACCCTATTAAAAATAAAAATCCAAACCCAGATCCCCTTCCCCTCAACCCCATATCCCACCCCCACCCCCTTACCCATCTCTTCCTTCCCGTCCGTCCGTCCCCATCCCCTTACCCATCTCTCCCACTCTTCTTCTTCCTCCACACCAACCCCAACACATTCCCTGACACCCTTTTTTCAATTCCCTCCTTCCTTCTCCCTCTCTAGGGTTTGAGTTTCGAATTCCACCCCTCTCTCGCCTCTTCCCCTGCCACCCTCCGTCTCCTGCCTCCACGCATCTCCTTCCCCCAAAACCCATATTCCCCTCCACCTCTCCCACCTCAAAGCCCCCACCTTTAATCACTTCTCTGCTTTTTTTTACTGGTTTTCTTAGAAACCCCTACAACACAATACTTGCAAAACCACAACCCAAATACTTGCAACCGTCGCCTGGGGGTGGGGGGAAGGCAAGTGGGTCATGGGGGGGGGGGAACGGACGAGTTTGGTTTCTTCTTCTTCTGGGGGAAGGGATTTTGTAAATAGGAGTTGCAGAGAGGTGAGGGGGAAGGAAGGGGATCTGGGTTGGGTTCAAGTTTTTCTGGTTTTTTTTTTTAGGGTTAATATTATAATATTGTTAATGTATAAAAAATTATTTTTTTTGCCACATGGCAGCCATGTCAGCATATAACAGACCATTGGATGAAAAATCTAACGAAGATGTTATTTTGAAATAAAATAGTACGTGAGGTATGAAAGTGAAATATTTGAAAGATGTTGTATATGATTGTAATAGACCTCAAACTTGAGGGGTTTCTATGTAATTTACCCAACAAAATTTCAATTTAAGTAAAAAAAATTAAAAATTTAACGAAATACTCCTGTACTGTTTACTTTTAATAAAAAACTATATTTTTACATTTTTCTCGTACTATTCTCTTTATTTGTCATTTTAAAACTAAATTTTTTTTTGAAATTTTCCAAAGTTTTCCTAAAAAAAATACCGTAAGAAATCGAATCCGGCTCATACTATCCTACGCTGAGAAACTTCACAGCAGAAAAAAGAAGCTCATACTTTGCAAAATTTGATCTCAAAGCCCGTAATTTACCCAAATCCACTTCCAAGTCACTGATTTCAATTTCCGCGGTCGAAGCCGTCGTCGTCAATGTTCAGCAACAACAGCATATCAATCTCAGTCTCCGACGACGAAGCGGACGAACTCGGCCGGATGCGAGTCCGAGTTCGAAGAAAGCGCAAGAAACTCGGCCACCGACTCAAGAACGAGTTCCTCCACCGAGTCGCTAGAAAGCTCGTCAGGTACTGGGCACTTCTCATTTTTCTCCCGGCCCTTGGGTTGCTCTTATACGAGGTTTCGAGGATCGGTAGGAAGCCGAGTTTGGTGGCGAAGTCGGAACTCAGTGAGCCGGAAAAGCCGAGTTTGGTTGGCTCGGAAACGGTGAAGAACTCGAGTTTGGAGAAGAAATCGGATGGGAATTTGAATCGGCTCGATCATACGACTCGGGTTGTTGGAGGCGTTAGACAACGTAAGTTCAACTCTTGCTTAATTGCCATACGATTCGGATGCAATTGTACAATGGGTAATCGAAATTGTGTGCAGAACGAGTTCAAAATCTTTAATTTTTCTTTCTAAAGAATATAAGGAAACGATTCTGCAATCTGCATAGTGTTGTAAGTTACTTACTTTTCTAATGACGTTGTAAATTTCAATGAGTGTAAGCTAGAATTGTGCCTGTTAGATTAATGTGACTGCCCAAATGCCGATTATCATACATTGCTTGACACCCACATTAGTTTAACGATTCGGAGTGATTGCTGAGCTTGTTTTGTTGTTTCTTTAGTGTTACTGATAATTGGGTTGTGCATTTTACTGTAGTTGGAAAATTTTATTTTAGTTAGGATTGGAATATTGACGCATTTTGAAATGTGACGAAAATTTGCGGATAATGTTAGGTTGTTTGGACATCTTATCTCCTGAAGAACTTGAGCATCTGGAAATTCCTATGCGCGAAGATTCCAATACACCTGTTAAGAAAGTGGTATACATATCAGAGAATGACAATCCGTTTTCAGGAGGGAACAACAGTCTTTCTCAGGAGCACACAGAGGCCCCAAGATTTAATTCATTTACTGGAAGTCAAACTCTGGATCAGAGAGCAAAATCGTTTAAGGTTATAAACTGCATCATTGTTTTGAAACTTTGAACTGATTTAGTATTCTATTTGGTCTTTGTCATGTTAAAGGTCAAGTTTTAAGACGCATCTAACTTCTTTAGGTTTTGATGTTGATGTTATTTTCATTGTGAAGCACATCGAGGTCTTTACTTTTTGCCCGATTTTAAACAGAAATAATAATAATAATTTGTACTGTGAGGCGGTGTTCATATTGTTAGAAATTTGTTGCTCACAGGTAAATGAAACTGTTACTATGAACTGTGGTTTCTACAGTGAAAATGGAGGGTTTAAAATCTCAAATGAAGACAAGGGGTACATGGATAGTTGCAAGGTTGTAGTGTCCACATGTGCATTTGGTGGTGGAGATGATCTTTATCAGCCTATTGGAATGTCAGAGGCATCACTTCGAAAGGTTTTTGTCTTTTCAGTCAAATATTACTAATTAGCTTCAAAGTTATAAATTCTTATGAGTACTGAATGGATGCAGGTTTGCTATGTTGCTTTTTGGGATGAAATTACTCTAAGTACACAGGAAGCGGCTGAACATAGAATTGATGGGAATGGATTTATTGGGAAATGGCGCATTGTGGTTGTTAAAGATCTTCCCTTTTCAGACCAAAGGTTAAATGGAAAGATCCCAAAGGTAACAACTTTCAGGGTTAGGTTAAATTATTATTTTTTTCTCTATTGTCATTTAGTTTATTTAAGTTAAATTTAAAAAATTTATCCTGATCATGTTGTTATCTCTTGTCATCTGTCATTTTCTTTACTTTTTTAATTTTTGCAAACATTTTTGTTTTCATGATACATGAAAGCTATTGCAACATGGAACCTATTTTCTGTAATTACATTAATAAGTCAAGTAAAGTATGATAATTTAAGCAGAACAATATTAATCAAAGGGACGCTGGATCTGTTCTTCATGATATAAAAGGTTTAAGCTAAATGTCAAATATCCAAAAAGTTCTGTTACAAGTGCTAGCCAAATATCATGTATAGGTGTATGTGGAAATTTATCTGAGACTTTGTATATTTTTTCTGGTGTTAGATGTTGCCCCATCGTCTTTTTCCTCATGCAAAGTATTCCATTTGGGTAGATTCAAAGTCCCAATTTAGGAGGGACCCCTTAGGTGTGCTCGAAGCCCTACTTTGGCGTTCAAACTCTGTACTTGCTATCTCAGAACATGGAGCTCGCAGTAGCGTTTATGATGAAGCGAAGGCTGTTGTGAAAAAAAACAAGGCCAAACCAGAAGAAGTTGAGGTGCAATTGACTCAATACCGCCATGATGGCTTGCCAGAAGACAAGAGGTTCAACGGAAAGAAGGGTATGCTTCTTTTTCTTTCACTTGTTCTGGCTTGATCTCTCTTATGAAATATTGCTATTTATGATGCTTCATGATTGTAGCAATTCTTGAATTCCTTTGCTTCTTTGTTGAGTACATCTTTTTGAAGTAGGAGTAGTTAAGCCTACTGCATGCCTTATTGCTTTCCTTAATTCTGCATAAAAGGTGACTTACTCCTGGGTTTTACCGAATGTAAATATCTTAAGATTTTGACATTGAGAAGAATAGTCGAAATATAAAATCAATCTGTTTATTCAAGTTTCATATCTGTTTATTCATGTTTTCTTATCAGTCTGTTCGTAATTTGAACAATCTGTTGATTGCCTCAATTCTGCATATTTTCACTTGCTCCTCTGCGCATCATACCCATACACTGATTCCGGCAGCCAGTCCGCTCCCCATCAGTCTACTTCAGATTCATATTTTCCCAATTTGTGTTTAAAGTGGGTTATGAGCCCTTCCTCACAGTCTGCTGCCACCAAGCTTATTTAGATACTTGAGAATTAAGAAATAGCCATACTTAATATGAAAAACTCCAAAACTACAAAGCTGGTGATCTCATTGTCTTGCATTTTGTTCCTATTCTGAACCATTGCGTCGTTAACCTGTGCAGCTTTATCTGAAGCATCTGTTATCGTGAGGGAGCATACACCATTGACTAATATGTTTATGTGCCTCTGGTTCAACGAGGTGGTTCGGTTCACTTCTCGTGATCAGCTTAGTTTCCCATATGTATTATGGCGGTTGAAAGTGCTC